GGAAATGGGTTTTATCTGAAAAAAATCTGCAGTGTCATTGTGGATCACTGGGGTTTCTACAGAAATGGCATGAGTTCTCCACAACGTTATGGTGGTTGTTGTTTTGTTTTGTTTTGTTTTTTTTGTACCTGAAACAGAGAAGGTCCAGAAAGTTGCCTGATGTGATGATGAAAAATCGCTTGTTGGCAGGTTCTTATAAATGCACTCAGAATCAAAATGTTAGTGATTTGGAAAAATCTTGAAATACAGTAATTTCACATGACCCCCTCTTGGAAGCTTCTGCATTTTGCATTCTTTGCTCCAGCACAATTCCCACTGAAGAAATGCTTTAAAAAAAAAAAAAAAAAAAAAGATTACGGCTTGTTTTAAAAATGTCGTTCCTTGTGTCTTTAGTCCTGCATTAAGTTATGTTTATATGTCTTAGTCTTATCCTGATTTATATGATCAGGACTAAGCTGTCTTGGATTTGTCTGGAGTCTGAAAAGATAGGAGCTGGGCCATCAGATGCCAGTGATACCCCATGGGCTTGCAGGCTGTGGGTGTGCTGTGCTGCTCAGGGCTGTGCTGCCCTTTCCCCTGGCCCATACTCTTTCCCTGACCCTGCCCTCCACCTACAGATGAGAGGAGCAGTGATGGGCACAAGGACTGGTGTGAGTAGGTGGCTGGAGCTGCAGCTGGAAGGGGATGTCTGCAGCCTGGGGTTCAGGAAGAGTAAAGCCCTGGGAGGAAGCAGCAGTAGCAGCAGGGGGATAGGGATGACCCACACGTGGAACTTAGTGTCTGCACATTGCTCAGAATAGGCATCAGGTCTCAAAGGCACTCTCTGAGGGAGAAGGAAAATGGTGGCCTGGTGATAGTGTGGGTGCAAGGACCTTCTAGTGATGTATCTACAGCCTCTTCAGCCAGACATGGTTAACAACACAAGATAGCATCGTGGTAAAGTAGCTGCTAGTTGTCACTTGGAGAGTATCCTTCTGTTATTTCAGAATTACTGAGACACTTAATTGCCTGTTCATTAACTGCCTCAGACAAAAATAAGATTTGATGAATTGTCATTTCAGCAAATTAGAGCCTGTTGTACGGACTAACGGAATGAAGCAGCAAAGAGCTGGGTTTCTGCAGCTAGCTGTGACCTGTCCTGCCTGCACAGCGCTCACCACCCATCACTGACCCTGGGGCCTTGGCCTATTTGGGAACTGGAGGGGCCGCTGGCATCAGTCCAGACTGTTCTTGGGGTGAGACCAGAGAGTTCTGCCCATGGCACAGTGGAGATTACACCAGTGCTTGGCAGAGGTACATGTGAACACAAATGCAGACAGATGTCAAAAGAGAGTGTGTTGGCCCTAATTCCTAAACTTTGAGATCACTTCCTTTTTGTTGTTGTTGGGTTGTTTTTTTTGTGTAAGCAATAGTCGTTGCAACTGATAAAGATCAAATTTCCAAGCTGACTGAGATCTTGCATTCGGCATTGAAGACTGTATGTTTTCTCTAAAATAGTCCAATACAGTATGTTATTTCTAACTTATATACATTCTGATTTTAAATGTACCTGATTTTAGTTATGTTATTCAAGAGGGAAGATGGAATTTGCACTTTTGCTATAGAATAAAGTGGTTTATCTAATAGTCTCTGATTTGAAGAAAGGAAAACTGCAGATTCATTATAGGAGCATTGAAAATGGCACACAAGGTATTTGCAGGTGTTAGTCACAAGGCCGAGCATTTAAAAAGCAGATTGCTTGCCTGATATTGCTTTGCATTCTTCTGGCCAAAAGTTAAAGTTCCCTGAGAGCTTTTCTTCTTTTGAGCCATCTTTCTGTCTCAGATCCTTCCTTTTCCAAGATCGCCGATCCTTGCTTCCCTTTAATGTTTTCTAAGGGCTCTTTCTCACCTGTTTGAATGCAGCTATAGCTTCCTCCCTCCATCTGCCGAGGCTTGGCCAAGAAAGTCAGTAGAAACCTCTCATTTCTTTGGCAAGCCCTTGCCTAGTGAGGCTGGATGCTCTTTCAACCTCCCAGTGTAATTTGATTTAGAAATGTTTGAAACTTTGACAGTGTTGACATTGGGATTACATAGAATTTGCTTTCAAGAAAGTTGGGGATTAGCACAGCCATTGACTGCTTGTGCTTCATGCTTTTCAAGATCTAAACACTGAAGAAAAATCTACACCAGATTGGTGTCTTTGTAAACCACCTGGGTTTCAGGACCTGACAGTGTGGTTGGGTGTGGACAAGTAGGAGTGATGAGACTCAAAGACTACTCTACCTCCTCTGAACCACACTACTGTAGTGTTTGTCAGTTTCACTACTGGTTTAACTCTTCCCAGTGCAGAATTTGGGAAGAAGAGCCATTTCATCCTATGCAGTGCAGTTTTGAAGGTGATGATGACTGCGGATAGGGAACAAAAATAGATCAATAAAAATAGAAGAACACTGATGAGAGAATTAATAGAATAAAGTTTTGAAGGTGGTTTTATTTTTGTGTGTGTGCTTGTGATGGAAAGCTTTCTTCTGTTAACAGAGGAAACTGTCATGGCTTCTCAGTTAGTTGGTGGCCACTCTGGAATGGAGTGGTTGGGGTCTTGCAGTATGCCCCATTTAATGGACTCACTGTCAGAGGTCCCAGACCTGAGCTTCACTGGGGCTCGCTGGACCTCACCAGGCTCTCAGTGCAGTGCTTTGTATCGGCTGTGGGGTTGACAGTGGCCAAAGCACTGCACTGGTGGTCTTGGGCAGGGGGCTGGCTCCTTCAGGTAGGGGCTGTGCCACCACTGTGCACTGCACCCTGGGGAAAGGGAGCCGTGGTCCTCGGCAGCCGGGCAAGTCCCTGTCCCAGGGTCTGGTGTTTGGAATCCAGCTGCTTATCAGCCCCATCTGGGTGGAGGAGGCAGCCCTGGTGTGCTCCAGCCATACCTGGGTCAGGCGGTCACACGGCTTTGAAATGCGAAGCAGCTTCCTTAGCATTGCAGGGGGTAAAACGTGAATTGACCATATCATAGGCACATGGTACTTCCCTGCTCAGATTACACTACAAAATCTGGGCAGTTCCTAAGATAGAGCTGGAAAAGGGGATTTGGGAGTGTGAGCAGCACTTGGAGCAGAGCACAGCTGACATGGCTGGGAACAAAAGGTGATAGGAAAACTCTCTGCATCTGCAGTGCTGCACATCCACAGGTCAGCAGAAATTTTTCCTAACTGGATGTTTGTTGCAGATTTGTTGGGAGAAGCATGAGATAACTTTGTCTGAGTGCTGGCTTTGCTTTATGCCTTATGTTCTGCTAGTTGCAAAGAGTGTGTCTGGCTGTTTACTCTCTGATTTCATACTTTGTTTTCCAGATTTACTTTCTGTCTGCTCATGAGACTCTAAAACTCTTGATTAATACCTTCAGTTTAACTGAGTTTAAAGACTTAAGTAGGTAGAGGCGGGTTTGCTTTGTTAGTTAAGGCTGCTAAAGCTGTGCCTACTCTGCTCAGGGACAAAGCTTTTTACAGTATGTTTTTCTGCAAAATTCTCCATAAGCACCACATGTGTGTTAGTGCTGTTAGTCACATCTTCACAAGCTTTTCTTGCCTCTCCTCAGAAGGGAGCTTCTTACAAAAACGGTTATTTTTAATGTTGCTTCTGGCCTTTTGACTGTGAATTCAGAGAGCATTTTACCTCATACTGAAGCGAAAGTTCGGTTTGTTTTTGTTAATGTAAGTCAAGAAGTAGCAGTGATTCGGTGTGACAGGCTGAATGTGAGCCATATGAGCTGAGCTGCACAAGCATAAAGGATGATTGTGCTGCAAAATATCTCCAAGTAATTCAAATTTTTGACACACTTACCACTACTCAAGTTGCATTTCCCCCTTCCCACCACTTCTGCCCTTCCCCCGCCGTCAGGGATCTGATGGGATAGAAATAAATATGCATTGTCTCTGGAAACGGTGAGGCTTTCTTAAAAGTGCTTTCTTTCTGTGAATTTGATTATAGCACAGTGAGAGCTTCACAAAGGGATGGCAATAATTCTACATGCTTACTTATATATAATGACTCTGCAGGCGAATAGCTCAAGCTTTAGCTGCTAACTTTTACCACTTAGAGTGTGCAAGGGTCACTGATTTCTCCGTCTCGCTAACAAGTTTTGAAACACACTGATAGATCGTAGCTTTGTGGTTTAAGAAGAGCAACTTGTGCCTTGAGCCTGGGGAGCACAGCTGGCACACGGCTCCTGGCGTGGGACGAGGATTGCATGCTCAGGAGGATGCCGTGTCCCCAGGAACCCGCAGCACTGGGCAGAGTGCCACCGAGCCCCTCTTGGGCGGAGGACTTTGTAGGGCCATTTTTTTCCAATTAGGCACTATTGATTTCTTTTGCGTGTTTTATTTTCTCGGTTATTGACTTCTATTTAATCTGTCATTTCTCTGTATGGATGGCAAAATGATGCATATTCATAATAGGATTTTATATCCAGCCCTTCTATTGATTAAAATTCTGCATCTCTGAGCTTTTGGATGTAGATAGGAATAAGAAGTAATGGTTCGTTTCTGAGTGGCATTTCTTACAAATAAGAGAAAAGATGTATGTATGTGTTTGTAAGTGTATCATATTGGTGCAACACCTATAAAATAAGACATATTTTACAAACTCTTAAACTCAAGGATTGAATTCTGTTCTCTTGCGGAGTTCATCTTGCACATGGAACAGACATATTCCAGGGTAAATGAGAACAGAATGTGGATTTTCAATGAAGTTGTTCTAACCCATTGGGCCAGCACAAACCCCCTGGAGTCATTAGAAAGGACCTCGCTGACCCTGATGAAAGTGGAGATAAAGTCAAGAATTAAGGTGGTCTAGGTTGTGACATGCTTTTGCTGCTTGATGTTGTGTGCAATGTTTTTAAAGAACCAAACACAGAGCAATACGCTGGATATTATTTTTAAGGTAAAATCCCAGATAAATAAATATCTGTCATCAGGTTCTAAATGATTCCTTGCTTCACTTTAACAATGAGCTATCCATTATATAGTCTTAATTTATGGAATGTTAAACAGTTTCTGGCATTTTTGTGCCCCTGCAGGAAGAACAGATGGTACACTGAATGAGTTTTGCTACGGGATAAAATGTTTCAGGTCTTCAATGGATCATATCCATCTGTAAGAAAGGAATAACATTTGTGTAAAATAAACAGGGTACGGTCAAACATCTTGAAATTCTCTGATGAATGAAAAAAAAAGTGTGTGTAATCTAAAGTGGTAGTATGCATTGGGAGGTAACATGGAAAACTACTGCTTAATGTTAGTTTAAAAGTGAACACTTTCTTCACTTAAAGATCCCAACTGGGAAATCATATATATGAGGATCTGGAAGGCAGTGGTAAGAATGCAACATGAGCAATATATACTGACAGTAGTCTCTTTATAAAAAGAACATTACGCTTATAATCAGATAGATTGGCTATGTCTTCTCATCTTGTCTCCATGCAATAAAGTTCTGTCTTATTTGATTTATAGAACTTTGGCTGCTCTCTGAGAATACGGTTGAAGTGATGAAAAAATGGAATCCTGGCAGTCTTTATCATATTGCTGTATAATGTAGCTATCCCAGTAGAACTGAGTAGAACATCTCCATCGTGATTCACATCTTGCGCATCCTGCAAAAGTGTATCCTACAAGCCAAACAGTGGAATGCTAGCACTGCAAGAAGCTTCATTCGCTATTCTCCTAAGTGACCAGAATCTGTTAGGATGATGAATCTCCATCATTTTTTCAGAGCTTGAGTGCAATTCTACCAGCTAGCATTTGGGGGAATTATTCTTTTCTCCTCGTTGGCCTACATACTTCTGCTGTTCAGGTTTGGTGAAAATTTCTCCTTCTAAAAATTCTGTAAAATTTGGTCATATCCTTTGTAAAGCTTTCCTTTGCAGATTGAAAAATCGTATGTTCTTAAGCTTTATCTACCTGAAAATAAGGGAATTAATCACCAAATGTCCCCATAAGGTGCATAAAGACAAGCTCACATCTGGGGAGGATCAATACCATTCTAAAATGCATTATCAGTAATATTAATTGCTCTCTAAAGTTCTACTTGTGTCTCTACAGGCTAGAAGAAGCTTCATCAGTGAAGTAACTTCTATAAAACTGAAGTTAAACTAAAGCATTGATCTGTAGAGACTTTAGATTCATGGACCCATCTGGTCTTTGTGCTTTTTGTACCTAAGACGGTATCATCAACTTGTATTTAAAAATGATTCTGCCAAAGTTGTAGCACTCTTACAGCGATTGGCTATCGGATGAAAATCCTCCCTCTCCCAGCATCCCCAGGCAGTCAGATGGTTGTGAACGTCTGACTGGGCTGCCAAAGTGTTTAAAATCGTTGTGGGGAGCGGCGGGGTCGTGCCGCAGGAAGGCTCTCTGCAGGTGCCTTTTCTGCCGGATGGCTGCACGTTACCGCGGGCTCAGAGCCGGCGTTCGTGGAACACTAGCAGAGGAATTTGAGGGAAGGCTGGACAGCTGGAATACCTCTCCTCACACTGTGAAGAATCCTAATCACTTGGGTTAACATTAAAAAAAAAAAAAACACTTTTTTTTTTTTTTCCCTTTTAACCAAGTGCCCTGTGATTTTGGGAGACTTTATTTTATCTTGTATATACTAGCGACTTTTCTATCTTAATTCTTCTTGCCAGTCTTGTTCTGGCCTGTGCATAATGAGCATAGAGAAGGGAGTGATTATCTTCTCATTCTTCTTCCCTTGTGTTAATAGTTTCTTTCCCCATACATAAATCATATTAGAGCTGCAGTCTCTCTTCAGCTGGAAAATAAAATACTTTCCTCCCCTCACCGGAGAAACATTGACCAAAGTACACACATGTATCTGAATGTACCAAGAACAACAAAAGCAACAAAATTGTTGTCAAAGGAAAAGAAGTATTCCTGTTATTTAAATCATGTGCATATCTACCAAGTAATATATGAAGAAAAATTAATCGGTTTGCATTTCATGTTAGCAAGAGTTAGCTGAACACGCATGATTTAATGCAAAACTAGAACTCTAAGCAGTAGATTGCTCTGGATTCTCTCCCCATCTCCTGTTTCATAGGAGGAATACGTGGATGTCGTCTGATATGAAAATCAAATCATCAGTGTTCTGATTTTCCAAAAATTCTATGCAAGAAGATGAGTATATGCTACTTCTTATTTTATGTAGAAGGATTTGACTTTCTTGCATAAATATTATAGTATGTCTGCTTGGTTCTTTCAGTGATAAGACCTGTTTTCTTCTGGGCAGCAGTTGAAGCTCAATCTCCTTGTTGTTAAATATCTTTTAAAATGTAGCATGCTCCTCACTGGAACAAAACCAGGCTTCCCAGTGTCAGCATTTCTGGGTTGCCCAAATTTTTAGTTTTGAATACCCTACCTTTAGTTGCAAGTTATGATGGGCTTATTTGTATTTGTTGATGATAAATATTCAGGTCTATGGGTTGCTTACTTGCACAGCAAACTATATTAACTTCCTGTGGTATTGGAAAATGTAATTTATAACTTACAAAGTAAACAACACTTGCTCTAATATCATTTTGGTCTGTAGGGTAAATAGTGTACAGAACCACAAATCATTGTGAACACAAGAACTGAATAGGTGCATCTGCGGGCAGAAATTGACTAAATGTGTTTAGATGCAGAACAAATTATCGATGATGACTGAGTATGTCTGCATGAAATTCTCCACAGTCTGCTGAGAAAAGCACTGCTCTTCTCTCCAAGAAAGAATCCTCACATGTAGGGGAGTACAAGAAATATGTGTATTTATTTGTGTATGTGTTTACATGTTGACACCTTTCAGACTGAAATAATACTAGATACTCTGCTTACATGAATTTCAAAGTACATTGCTTTTATTTTATGGCAGCCCCTGAAAAGCTTTAACTCTGTGTCAGGTTGGTTGTAAGTGAGTTTTAATGAGGCTATTTCATCCAGAATACTTCTCTAGATCTTAATCTTCAGTGAAAGAGGCAGTATTACTGCCCTTGGTGCCTCCCAGAGGATTAGTAGGGCTCAGGGCATTGCCCACCCAGGTCACCTCTGGCAGGGTGCTTGGTTCACTGTGTCTGTGGGAAGTAGACATCTACTGGGCAACATCGAGTTTGTTTCCCATCATTGTGTGCTACAGAAGATACCGTAAAGGGTCTTGAGCA